TCCTCATATTTTTATTGTATAACTTAAAAATAAGAAATGAGCATTCAATTTTATAAAATGTCTTTTGGCATTTACTGAGATCACTTTTAAATTTTAGTTTACTGATGCTGTATTTATATTACATAAAAGGCAGTTCCTTGTAATGATTGAGAATTAGGCTGTGAAGTCAGGTGGGCTTGAGTTTAAAACTTGACTCTTCCAGAGGGGAGACCAGACAAGTTGCTCAACCTCATCCAGCCTGGTGTTCTTGTCTAGGAAATGGTGATAATGTCTGTTTTTTGTAGAGCAAAAGGATAAAAGCACACAGAAAATACTCACCATTCATTTTCATCATTGTAATAACTGAATCCTGGACATCCCTGGAGTAACTTCTTGATATCTATGTATATAAAAGCCTAAGTGACCATTACGACCAGTTGACTGAATGACCGGTCAACTGGTCACTATGACGCACACTGACCACCAGGGCAGACGCTCAATGCTGGAGCTGCCCTCTGATGGTCAGTGCACTCTCACAGCCAACCCCCTATGGCCAGCCAACCTCCTGCAGTCCCTCCCCCTGGCTGGCCAACCTTCTGCGGTCTCTCTCCCTTGCCGGCAGGCCCTGCTCAGGACTGGGCGAGACAGCCCCAATCAGCCCCGATCGCCAGCCCGGCCGAGGGACCCCACCCGTGCTCGAATTCGTGCACCAGGCCTCTTGTTATTATATATTTACCTCTGCATTCATAAGTGAGATGATCCTGGACAGTTTCCCATCTTTTTGCCCTGGATTTGCTTATGTAGCATAGGAATCACATGTTCCTTAAAAGTTTCAAATAACTCATTTGTAAAACTAGTATATAGACACCAAGTTTTAGTAGATAATTCTAGTTAATGCTTTTAATTTCTAAATAATAATAGCTGTCATTTATTGGATGCTTATTACTATGTGACAAAAGCTATAATGACTGCTTCACACATCTCATATTTCATCCTCAGAAGTCGGTGTCATTTATATTCATCTGAGAATCAGTTATTATTGTTCCCATCTTACAGATCAGAAAGTTGAGGCTTTGAGAGGGTAAACAGCTAGACCAAGCTCTTGCAGAGAATGAGCTGGGATGTGAGCCCAGGCTGTCTGACTCCAAGTTATCTGCCTTTAGCGGCAAGATAGCATGCTGCTTCCCAAACCTCTTTCTTGTCTTTTTGTTTCGGTTTTGATCTCTTTAAGTTTTCTGTGCCTGTGGCATCTGTTTTGCTAGTTTATAGTTTTTTAGGAAATCCTTAGTTTTACTGAGATTTTTTTAATCCCTTAGTAGTCTCACAATTTTTATCTCTGTTTCTGTGGTTATATTCATTCATTATTCAGTTTATTTATGTTTTCTCCCTTTCTTGATTATTCAAAACTGTATATTAAATTAGGAGAAAATGTCTATGTGAAGGAGGCTCTGTAAAATTATAAAATGGAAGAAAGGTTTTTTTCTTTGAAAATATTCTCTTTCCATCTACCTTTGTTTCCCTTTTCCCATCCTCTACCCTAGCCTTTAAAGAACAGAGCGCTTAGGGACAGAAAGAGCCTTAGGGGCACTTTGTGGAGCCCTTAACTCAGCAGGGCCTGGAAAGGACTTCTACCTGTCCCAGGTCACGCAGTTAGCAGGTGACAGACAGGAGGAGCCAGGCTCTCATCTTCCTGTCTCGTTTTCTTTCCGCTATGCCACACAACGTGTTATAGCTCGAATTATTAATCTTTTATCCTCACCCAAGGATATGTTTATTGATATTTTTTTAGAGAGAGAGGAAAAAGGGGAAGGGAGCAAGAGAGAGAGAGAGAGAGAGAGAGAAACATCAATGTGAGAGAGAAACATTGATTGGTTGCCTCCCATACATGACCAAGATACCATGCTACTTCCCAAACTTCTTTCTTGTCTTGTCTTTTTTTTTTTTTTAAACTGCAACCCTTTGGTGTGCAGGCCAATGCTTGTGCAGGCTGATGCTCTAACCATTTAGCACACTGGCCAGGGCAGGTTCTTCTTATTTTTTTTAAATATATTTTATTGATTTTTTACAGAGAGGAAGGGAAAGGGATAGAGAGTTAGAAACATCGATGAGAGAGAAACATTGATCAGCTGCCTCCTGCACACCCCCTACTGGGGATGTGCCCACAACCAAGGTACTTGCCCTTGACTGGGATCGAACACGGGACCCTTCAGTCCGCAGGCCGACACTCTATCTGAGCCAAACCAGTTAGGGCTTCTTTCTTGTCTTTTCATTTTGGTTTTGATCTGTTTAAGTTTTCTGTGCCTATGGCATCAGTTTTGCTAATTTATAGACCAAGGATTGAACCCGAAACCTACGTATGTGCCCTGACCAGGAATCAAACCCAAGACCTTTTGGTGCACAGGACGACGCTCCAACTAACTGAGCCACCCGGCCAGGGCAAAGTATTATTTTTTTCTCCATTTTTTTCTTTTTTTTTATTTGTTTCTCTTGTTTGGGACAAATTATTAATTTTTAAAACAATAAATTAATGAAGATTGCAAAGCAATCTTAATAATAGCTTTAAAAATGTTAAAGCTACTTAATTTTAAAAGATCACTATAAATCATCTATTGTGCTCCTGCTTTAAACCACTTTCTAGAATGACTATCCTAGGAAAGCAGGCGTCAGGCAGGAAGAGGCGCGTCTTCATCGCTTCGCCCCTGACAGGTTTGCTGCATTACTAGGAAAGCCCTGCGAGCTCCTTTATCAGCAGAAGGGGCAACAATAACATGGACCCAGCCTAAGCGGGGGTCTCAGGGTTTCTACCAGGTCTGAAGGGAACAGAGGAAAAGCTCTCTGCTGAAGGGTGGACTTGGGGCACCTGCGGGGTTACTGCGTTAGGGTGGGTCTGGGTGTCAAACTCAGCGACGTGAAAGGGGGCGGGACAGCTCCCATACTGATGATGGAACAAGGTGTACCAACTCCCACATGATCCGGACAGTTTTCACAACAGAATTACCTGAAATTGCTCATTTCCCAGGTGCTGGGTATGTGTGTGTGCAGATGAGCAGATGTTTCTGCCGACTGCCTGATCAGCAGTCTGCAATTATACCCCCGGGAACAAGCTGCTCGCTGTGGTTAGGGGCCATTAGCCACTGAAATAATGACATCTGTCATGATTTTCATACCTCATCCTGTCCTGGATCTTATCTCCAAACTACGCAAAACGAATACCTAAGGTTCCTAAAATAGACCAACCCAATTTTAATAGCTCTGCTCTCGCCGCCATGGCGGTGAGTGTTTGAGGTTGAATAATACCTAATAGTTATTGAGTGTTTTCCTCATGCCTGGCATTGTAGAAAGTTCTTTATGAACAGCATCACTCGCCAAGCCCACCCAGATACTATCCTTCTCCCCCTATTACAGGTACAGAAACCGAGTCACTGAAAAGTTCAATAATTCACATCTAGAAGGGAACAAACCTTGGGTCCCTATTTCATCCTGTTTGACTCTCCTGCTGTATCCTGACACAGAGACTGTGCGCCATTTGGCTAGCAAGATGCTCATATATATTGAGACGATGCAATGAAGTCTAGGCAATCTAGTTTTGTATAAGGAGCTAAATAAGGTATTGGGTCCAAATGGAACACTTATTTAATGCAGTGATTCTCAACTGGGGGCAACAGCGCCTGCCTCAGGGGGCATTTGGAAATATGTGGGGTCATATTTGGTCATTGTGGTTGCTTCACTGACCTGTCACATTGGTGGGCTCTCAGGATGCTAAATGCCCAGCCGTGTGCAAAACAGTTCCGGGCAACGAGGAACTGACTGGCTCCAAACATCAGAGACGGCTAAGAAACACTGACAAAGTGGAAATAAATATATATATATATGATATGTGGTATATATATATATATATATATATATATATATATAGTATTCACATATTCACAAAGTTTATCTTATGAAAATATATAGACAATTTCATGGAATAAAATTTAAGCTGATTTTATAAAATGCTTTGCTGATTTTATAAAATGCTTCCACTATAAATGTCTATTCATCATTTAATTTTTAATAAATAAAGGATAAGAGGAACCTTAAAAAATTTAAACTTCGAGTGTGGTATCAGAACCCAGCCCTGGTATCTTTCTGGCCACCCGCTTCGATGGGAGAAGGAGAACGATTTCTGCGATTAAGGACAAATGAGACATTCAACATGAAGTAAATCAATACCAAAGCATAGAGCCTGGCCTGTGTGGCTCAGGGTTTGAGCATCAACCCACGTACCTACCAGGAGGTTATGGTTCGATTCCCAGTCAGAGCACATGCCCGGGTTATGGGATCAATCCCCAGTGTGGGGCGTGCAAGAGGCAGCCAATCGATGATTCTCTCTCGTCATTGATGTTTCTATCCCTCTCTCCCTCTCCCTTCCTCTCTCCCTGAAATTAATAAAAATATATATATATTTTTAAATACCAAAGAGTGCCTTAAAAGTGGAACGCTGTTGATTTTGCAGACATACTGGCCTAGCTCCGGCTGTTTGCCGAAATCAAGCTCTCCTGGTCAAGTCCAGTCTTCCTTTTGCAGCTGCCCCAGAAATCAGTCCGGTCCTGAGATTTGCTTGAGAAGTAAGTATCTGCACTAAAACTTATCTGCGCCCTTTTTCAATCAAGTCACCAAATCCTTCACGATCATTGTTTTTCCTGAAAACCCCCTTCTCACTTTATCTGGATCATCCCTGCGTTTTCTTTGCAGCGTCTTAGTTCTGCGGTTTTCATTCAGTGCACAGTCACTGGGGCTCTGGGAGAGGAGCGCCAATGGCCCCAAGCAGCTGACTTGCCCGAGGAGAACTGGGTTCATGTGAGGCCAGGAGTCCTGACCAGAGCTGCCTTGCCTCCTGCAGGTCTCCTGACGGGTCTGCTGGTGCCACTACTTGGAAACGAGGTACCCAGGGTGGCTCCTCTCAAGTCTCTTCCTGCTGCACCGGGAAGCGCCTGAGCCCCACTCACAACCCCGGGCCGCCCTGCAGGAAGCTGGCCATGATGACAGAGTGAGTGAGGTCCCATCAGGCTAACAGCTACAGCTGGCTCCCCAGGGTGCACCCTCCTGTCCCTGGCTTCCCAGGCCTTACTGTCCAGAGAGCAGACACACAGCCACACCAGGGGGCGGCCTCTGGCTCCGGGCAGGGATGGGTTTGCAGCTGTATTGGCATCTCTGTAGCTTCTCACTCTGACCCCTCTCCTTTCCCAACAGAGGCATGCAGCTCTGGCACGGCTTAGTGATCGCATTCGTGTCCCTGGTCCTACAGGCCTGCCTGCTCGTAGCCATCTACTACCTGCTCAGCAGACACATGGGTAACCGGCTCGGCGTCCTCTCCCCTCCTGGTTACCCCCAGGGACCATTCCCAAGCCGGCAGCAAGGCCAGCCCCCTTTGGAGTCCCCGAGTATCACTTGCAAACCTTGAGGATTCACTGGCCAAATGGCCCCTCATCCTGACCGGGTAGTCCCTACTCCGACCCAACCTGTTTCTGGTTGGGAATCGCGGGCCCGGAGTCCTTCCACTACCTGGCCCTTCTGCCTAGAGACAGGCTTCTGTAAAGCTCGTGAGGGTGGCCTCATCGAACCTGGGCCTAGTTAATTTTCCTCATCACCACAAAGGACTGACCGTGAAGAAAGGGCTTTGAATTGCTACAGAAGGCAGTATGGTTGGGTTAGACTAAGAGACCATCTTCAATTCTTGAACTGCTTCACAATGGGGAGTAGAGAAGCTGTGTCTTGGGAAGACATTGCAATTAGGGAAAATAAAACATTTCTTTGGCCAAGGCAGAAGATTGGGCAGGATAATGCCATGAAGGTTTTTCCAGTAAAGGAAGTCGAGACTTCTCTTCATTCATCCATCCATCCATCCGTTCATTCATTCATTCATTCATTCATTCAATACAACAGGAAACAAACAAAAAAACTCTGCCCTTAGGTAACATACATTCCTTGGGGGTACAGACAACAAATAAGATAAGTAAAATACATGAGTTAGATTATGGAAACTGCTAGGGAGAAAAAAAGCAAGGCAAGGGATACAGATTGAGTGGTGGCCAGCATTCCTGAGATGCTGGCATCCTATCCCAGTGGTCAGCAAACTCATTAGTCAACAGAGCCAAATATCAACAGTACAACGATTGAAATTTCTTTTGAGAGCCAAATTTTTTAAACTTAAACTATATAGGTAGGTACATTGTTATTAACTTAATTAGGGTACTCCTTAGGCTTAGGAAGAGCCACACTCAAGGGGCCAAAGAGCCGCATGTGGCTCTCGAGCCGCAGTTTGCCGACCACTGTCCTATCCTATGTAATAAAAGGCTAATATGCAAATCGACCGAACAGGGGAATGACCCAACACTATGATGCACACTGACCACCGGGGGGCAGACGCTCAATGCAGGAGCTGCCCCCTGGTAGTCAGTGTGCTCCCACAAGGGGAGCTCTGCTCAACCAGAAGCCAGGCTCCTGGCTGGGGAGTGTAGTGGTGGTGGCAGGAGCCTCTCCCACCTCCGAAGCAGTCGGACATCCCCTGAGGGCTCCCGGACTGCTAGAGGGTGCAGGCCGAGCTGAGGGACACCCCCCTCACCCGCCCCCCCAGTGCATGAATTTTGTGCACCAGGCCTCTAGTTTGATTATAAACTTGAGGGAAGCGAGGAACTGACCTGCACCTGTAAAGGCCCTGAGACAGGAGAGCATTTCACACATCACAGCAGGAGCAGAGGCTGGGTGGCTGGAGCAGAGGACGTAGCGTGAGAGAAGGAGGTGAGGCCAGAGAGGAAGAAGGAGGGAGGCCATGGAGGGCCTTCGAGGTTGGGACTTCGGCTCCTTCTCCAAGTGAGATGAGGGGCGTCACAGTGGAGGGGGCTGAGATGTGAAAAGATCCTTCTGATCGTTTTCCCTAAGGAGAGTGGTGCTCAGAAATGGGGGGTGCCTGCCCCAGGGAGCTTTCACTTTGGACTCTTGCCCTGTTCCCTCTAGCCAAAGAGAACGAACAGTTACTCAGAAGATCCAGGCTCTGGGCCCCCAGGCCCAGCCCTGCCCACCACCACTCACCTGCTGCACAGGAGACGAAGGAGACCGGGGCAGAGAGAAGCACCCCTGCGCGGGAGTCCCGGTACAGGAGTGAGTGACGGGGCTGGGGAAACACGTCATAAAGTGTACTGTGCTCCGTCTACACAGCCGGAGAGCCTTCCCGCAGCAGCCCAAGTCTGTCCCTGCCGCCCAAACCCAGCCCGGATTCCTCCCACCCACCCCAGTAGAGGCCTCACTACCTTATCTTTTCCAGAAAGTCATTCATCCCGTCAGTGGGGCAGACCTGGTTGGGTGTGTGTGGGTCTAAGCCAGGGGTCCTCAAACTTTTTAAACAGGGGGCCAGTTCACTGTCCCTCAGACCGTTGGAGGGCCGGACTATAGTTTAAAAAAAACTATGAATAAATTCCTATGCACACTGCACATATCTTATTTTGAAGTAAAAAAACAAAACGGGAACAAATACAATATTTGTATTTGCATGTGGCCCGCGGGCCGTAGTTTGAGGACCCCTGGTCTAAGCTCTTTGCTAGGTTTGGTCACGTGTGAACAACTGCAGAGGGGGCTCGGGGACTGTTGCTGCTCCTGTCTTTGCAATATTAAGGCATCTTTTCTGTCACCTGGCCAGTTAGTGGTGGAGCCAAGATTCTGACTGACTCTGCCTGCGTCCAGCTGTGGCTGGTGCTATGCATCCTGCCATCTGGCCAGTGTCATTGGCTGGTCCCAGAAGCTGACTCCACCGTGCTCCCAGGGTGTCCATCTTAGATCCTCATGGGTATCCGGGTACTTCAGTAAACATGAGTCTTGCTGATGGTTTAGTTGTATGTCTGCCTCTGGCAAGTGGGCCAACAGGCTCACCACCCTCTTGTTTTCTATCTCGGGGCTCGGGAGGCCCCCAGGTCACTGTTGACACAGTGGAAATTATTGCTTCTGCAGCATGACAATGACCCCTGAGGGAGCACCCTCCAGAGATCGTACTTTCTCCCATTGGTTTATCTCTTGGTTGATTTGGGTTTGCTCCCTCCTCCTACTGTGATCTTTTGAGTTGGAGAAATCGGGTTGTCAGGCTTCCTAGCACTGAGATAAGTTGTCAGGCTTCCTAGCACTGAGACAAGGCCTCGGGGCACATGGGGACCAGAAGATGCCGCTCAGAGTTTCAGCAGAATGGGACAGGCACTGGCCTCGTCATGACCCCTGAGCCTAAAGCTGCACCAGAACCTGGCCAGACTCAGAGGCCCTTTAGTTGCCAGGGAGCTCAGAGACCATCGTCCAATCCTCTTGTTTTATGGGGGACAAAACCAGGGCATGAAAAAGGATGTGACCTGCCTGGAGTTAGGGGCAGGTTAGCCTAGAACCTGTGCCATGACTTCCGAGGCCAGAGCTGTTGGCTTGGGGCGCACTGTCTCATCATGTCCCCGTATACTGCACCCACACACAAGCAAGCCAGTTAGCTTCAGGTGGAGCTGGACAAACAGCAGCGCCTGGACTCTAGGCCATGTTCCTGCCTATCTTTGGAGGCTCTGTCTCCCACCCCTTCTCTCTATTCTATCCCTCTTTCCCTTTGGGGAGCTCTTTATCTCTCTTCCCCGCTCCTCTTTGCATTGCTGGCTCTGCCTCTGTCTTTGTCCCATCCTCCCTTCCACGGTCTCTGTCCACTCCTAACACCCTCCAGCTTTCTTTAGAAGAAGAACAGCTTCTATTTCTCTCTAGATAACTGCCACACATCCTCAGAGAGCTCCGACACCTCGGACAGCGCCGGCCACTCGCCTCCCACCGGCCAGGTAAGGGACACTCCTAGTGATCCCAGCCCTCCATGTGCAGCCTGGGGTCCGAGAACTCAGGCCACCCGGCTCCAGAGATGGGAGCAAGAAAGGAGGGGCTTTGGGAGTCACCGCAGCATCCTCAGGAGAGGGTGGTTAGGCATTCACTCACAGCCCTGTGTCCACACGGATCATCCAAGCAAAGTGGGTCCGAGTGGGCTGTAAAAATGGAAGTGCTGCCCAGCCAGTGTGGCTCAGTGGTTGAGCATTGACCCGTGTACCAGGAGGTCGAGGTTAGATGCCTGGTCCGGGCACATGCCTGGGTTACAGGCTCGATCCCTCGTAGGAGGCATGCAGGAGGCAGCCAATGAACAATTCTCTCTCATCATTGATGTTTCTATCTCTTTCTCCCTCTCCCTTCCTCTCTCTGAAATCGGGCTCACTACCCTTTTTTTAAAAAAAATGAGAGTGCTAATGGGAAGCCTCCTTCTCCCCGTATCCCTGTCACTGGGCCACTGCTCTGAGTCCTGACCTCATTTGAATTGATTCTCTCCATCTTTCTCCCTTACATCCATTCATCCCCTGCAGACAGGAGGAACAAAGGCGTTGGCAATCTTCCTCACTGCCCTGACCCTGCTCTCGGCCGTGACTGCCTGGGACCCAGGCTCCTTCTCATCCAGCCCAGGGCAAGCCTCTCTGCGTGAGAGTTTAGTCCTGGGGTCCTGCCTCCTCCAGACACGGTAGGAATCTGGACCTACACTTCTCTGCTCTTTTCCCCCAAGGCCACCAGGAATGTGAATTACACCCAAGTGGTCTTTCCAGCCACAGGAAGACTAGAGAACACATCCGCCCTGGACTATGAGGACATCGAGGACATGACAGATTATGTCAATGTCGACCCAAAAAGCCACAAGCACAATTTCTGGACTTTTGTGAACCCTGCTGCCTCCGAGCCTGTGGAATACTCTCAAGTGGCCATGTGAATTCCAGGGTCTGCTTTTATAAATGGGGTCAAGTTCTCTACAAATTCTTGTACTTATTTTGTAGGGAATGACTTTCTGTTTTTGTGTGTGTGTGCGTGCGTTTTAACAAGGCTTGGGAGGAAAAAATAGGCTGTATCTCAGCAAGAAAGGCTCAGATGGGGAGTTAGGATGAGCTTCCAGGTTGAGTCTGAGCTCACTGAAGCAGATCAGTAGGGAAAGTGGGGAAGTCTCAATCAGAAAATTGTTTTAAAAGATTTTAATCAGCTATAGTAGAGTCCCGTTTGGCAGTCTTACGATTGAATTAACCTCTGAGCTATTTAATTATTGGCAGCGAACAACTTCTTTAAAAGTTTTAAATAAAACGGCAACCGCCAGTTCCTCTTTTCCTCTTGCCCAGCCCAGCGTGTGTCCCTTTCTCAGAGCTGTGCCTGCTGAGTGATCCTGCTTTGCCCTCAGAACTTTAAATAGTCCACTTAGAAGGCCCACTATCGCTCAACCTTTGAACTCACTGTTTCTTATGAACGAGAGATGACAAATACCGCCTGATAAATGCCAACCAGTATCACAATCTGTTACTACAAGAACAACTTCCCAAATTTAATCTAATAAAATCTAATATCCATTCCTGGTTTGTTGTTTCCTTTTTAACCAATCCTATATAATAAAAGGGTAATATGCAAATCAACTGAACGGCGGAACGACCGGTTGCTATAACACACACTGACCAGCAGGGGGCAGACGCTCAACGCAGGAGCTTCCCCCAGCCCACAGGGCCTGATCACTGGATCGGGGCCTGCAGGCCAACCTCTTGGTCCCTTCCTCCGGCCAGCAGGCTCTGATTGCCTGATAGGGAACAGGGAACCAGAGGTGGGTGGTGGCAGACATGACCAGCGCCAGGCCAAGGCCCCCACCCCGCCAGCCACCCCACACACAGAGGGCCACTGGTGGTGGAGGGCGGGGCCGGCGAGCTGGCGGGAATGGCCAACCTCTGGGTCCCTCCCCCGGTCAGCATGCTCCGATTGCCTGAAGGCAAACGGGGAACTGGGGGTGGGTGACGGTGGGGGGCGTGGCTGGCTGCCAGCAGCTGGGGAAGATGGCCCTGATCACAGGCCAGGCCTAGGGACCAGACCTGAGCAGAATTTCGTGCACCAGGCCTCCAGTTAGGAATAAAAGGACACTTCCTTAACGCGATTAAGAATCGCTTATCTGAAATCAGTAGATGCGTGATATTTAACTGTAAGGTCCTAGGCATAGTCCTATTAGATCATGACCAAAGTAAGAATCCCCACAAACCTGCTATTTCCTTCGTTATCTAAAATCATTCTAGAAGTTCTAAGCAGTTCAATTAAACACCTGACAAAAATAAGGGCTATAACTTTTGGAAAGGAGGATGAAATTTGTCATTGTTTGCAGATATCCTACTCCTAGAAAACCTCAGAGAATTAACTTAAAACAATTTAAAATTGATTGCATGCAGTAAGCAGTGACTAGAGAAATATGCAACATACTTTCTCCAATAGTTAATTTAGACAGGAATTTTAAAAAAAAATGTTCACCATAGCTAAACATCTCCCAAAGGGGAAACCCTAGGAATACTCTTAGCCAAATTCAAACTCCAATGAGTGGTGTTCAGATCTTAGAGATGATTTATGAACTTGCTCCCTCTGCTGGCGGAAAATGACTTGAGCAGTGGGTGGCTTTCCTAGTCCCAGGTTCTTCTTTTCCCCAAGAAACCGAAGAAATGGTTCTGGCTTGGCTTCTATGGCTTGAAGTATTTGCTGATCTATATGTCCCTTCACCTTAGCCTGCCATTGTTACTCTTTCCTGCCCCCCCCCCACCCCAGCTTCATATGTAGAAATCCTAACCTCCAAGGTGATGGCATTAGGAGATGGGGCCTTTGGGAGGTAATTAGGTGATGAGGGTGATTCCCTTGTGAATGAAATTAGTGCTCTTATAAAAGAGATCCCACAGAGCTCCCTAACCATAAATAATTGTTTTCAGAGAGGAAGGGAGAGGGAGAGAGAAATAGAAACATCAATGATGGGAGACAATCACTGATCGGTTGCCTCCTACACGCCCCCTACTGGGGATCGAGCCCACAACCCGAGCATGTGCCCTTGACTGGAATTGAACCCTGGGACCCTTTAGTCCACAAGCCGACTCTATCCACTGAGCCAACCTGACTAGGGCAGCCCTTCTGTCTTGTAAGGATACCATGCGCAGTCCACAGCCTGGAGCGGGCCCTCACCAGCCATGCTGACACCCTAATTTTGGATTTCCAGCCTCCAAAACTGTGAGAAACAAACTTCTGTTGTTTATAAGCCACCCGGTCTGTGGCATTTTGTTACGGCAGCCAGGATGGACGAAGATGTCTCCCTAGAAAGCTTTTGTTAATGGAGAAATGGAGATTCTATTGATTAGAGGGGCAGAATGAGGAATAAACACTGACAACAGCACTGTCTTTGCATCCAGAAGCGAAACTGTACTTCTTATTGATCTCTTTTGAAAAGAAAACACACACACAACAAACAGAACGACAGAGAACTGAAGAGGTTCAGACATGTACCATGCAGCCAAAAGAGACTGCCTGGGGACACGGCGAGACAGTTCCCATGCCAGGAGAGGGGACGGCAGCAGCCGCACAGTCGCGCAGATAGAGGGCCTGCTTTCTGCAGAATGTGGACAGGCCCTGGGGGTGGGGAGGAGCATACGTAAAACGGAGACTGAGCAGCTGTGCGGGTGGGGTCACAGCAGGCATGACCTAGTTGTGGCGACAGGCAGGAACACGTGCAAAATCACACGTGGCAGAGGGGAATTAACAGAGCAGTGAAACCAGAGCCTATCAGTGTTAGGCAAAGTCGGTGCAAGAGTGTTAGGATTAGGTGGACCTAATCAGAGAAAACAGCCCAGAGAGAGGTGCTTCTGAACTCAGCTTAGGAAGAAGGTTGGGCCCTAGCTGGTTTGGCTCCGTGGATAGAGCATCGGCCTGTGGACTGAAGAGTCCCGGGTTTGATTCCAATCGAGGGCACATGCCCAGGTTGCAGGCTCAGTCCCCAGTGGGGGATGTGCAGGAGGCAGCCGATCAATGATTCTCTCTCATCATTGATGTTTCTATCTCTCTCTCCCTCTCCCTTCCTCTCGGAAATCAATACAAATATATTAATAATAAAAAAAGAAGAGTGGGTCGTAACTGGTTTGGCTCAGTGGATAGAGCGTCGGCCTGTGGACTGAAAGGTCCCAGGTTCGATTCCGGTCAAGGGCATGTACCTTGGTTGCGGGCACATCCCCAGTAGGAGGTGTGCAGGAGGCAGCTGATCGATGTTTCTCTCTCATCGATGTTTCTAACTCTCTATCCCTCTCCCTTCCTCTCTGTAAAAAACAAAAAAAAATAATAATAAAATATATTTTTTAAAAAAAGAAGGGTGGAAATCTATTGATGGGAGAAGATGCAGAAGAAAAGGGGGCAGGCCTGACTGGATGCAGGCTCTCGGAACTGCATGGGGAAATGTTCGTGCCTGGGCTCAGAGACAGTGGGGAGACTTGGATCGGGGAGTTGTTGTCAAAGAGAACAGAGACCTGAACGTCAGCGACCATATGATTAAGGTCTCTGATGAACTCCGCTATGATTGGCTTCAAAAGTAGGACATTTTAGAGCCAATAAATATATCGTGGAGTTTAACATTTGCACCCACCCTGATTGCTTATAAAGGGCAGGCATTCTTGGAGAGTTGTTCAAGAAGCAAGTTGAAAGTGTGGCTCCAAGTGACTTACAGAGGTTTGATTGACGGTCGATGGTGCAGATGACACGTCAGATCCCCGGTAAGTAGAGAGAAGGGCTCGTTTCATGTCCTGAGGAGTTTGGGCCAAGAAGCTGATGACTGGAGACAGCTAACAATTTGAACTGCTGCTCAAAGTCATTGCTAGCCGGCCATGTGGCCAGAAATAAAACGGCCTTTTGCTTAGGAGACTTCTGAGAGCTTAGAAGGTTAGCTGCCTAAATGCGAACGGTCGCCTGTGTAGTTTCTAGCACGGCGAAGTCACTTTCTCCCGTGTGCTATGTCATCAGGACCTGCAGGGAACAGTCATGCTGCCCCACTCACACCGGGTTCCTCTGTGGGTGAGAACTGGATGGAAACCTCTCCAAAACTATCCTATAACAAGATACAGAGAAGCTGACTTGCTACTGGCAACCAGGTGGTAGTTGATTACATGATAATAATAAACTGGGAATAAACCATATACCAGAATAAACAGTATACCAGAATAAAGTCGACCTGTTTTCAATAAATTCTTTTTTTAAATATATTTTTATTGATTTCAGAGAGGAAAGGAGAAGGGAAAGAGCATACAAACATCAATGAGAGAGAATCATTGATCAGCTGCCTCCTGCACTTCCCATACTGGGGATCAAGCCAGCAACCCTGGCATGTGCCCTTGACCAGAATCGAACCCAGGACCGTTTAGTCCACAGGTCAATGCTCTATCCCAGTGGTTCTCAACCTTCCTAATGCCGCGACCCTTTAATACAGTTGCTCATGTTGTGGTGACCCCCAATTTCATTGTTACAAATTGAACATAATTAAAGCATAGTGATTAATCACAAAAACAATATGTAATTATATATGTGTTTTCCGATGGTCTTAGGCGACCCCTGTGAAAGGGTCGTTCGACCCCCAAAGGGGTCATGACCCACAGGTTGAGAACCACTGCTCTATCCACTGAGCCAAACCAGCTAGGGCTCTTCAATAAATTCTTATTCTAAAGGAGCAACTACCCAACTGCCCACCATAGAACTTCAGCAGATTTCCATGATGGACACTACCTTATTGGCCAACAAGACCCAATAGGGTGAGGAGGTATTTTATGCCCAACATCAGTGGGGTTTTTGCTCTTGGGATCAGGACAGGTTTCTGGGCCCAGGGGGGCTCTCAAGAGGCCTTCCACACCAAGCCCCCAGCCTCGAAACCAAACACATTATAGTAACTCCATCTTATCTGGGTTTATAGTTTTGTTTTTTGTTTTGAGGTCCCACTGGCTCGCTTAAACACTCACTCTTTCAGGCAGGAATTTCTAGACTCAGTCTTTCACCCCTTGCTCTTTGCCCTTCCTTGCCACATACACCCTCCCTGAGCTTCGAGGGGAGCATGTGTTCAGTTACCTCAGGAGAACTGGGTCAAATGAGAGACCAAGACTCTAGAACTTTAGGGAAAGTCCCTATGGCCTTTGAGCTGGGAGGCTGGTGACTTTCCCAGCCTACCCCAAGGTCATTGCTGCTTCAAACCCACTTTCAGCTCCACACTGCCACCGTGTGGCTCCACGGATTTTTTTTTTTTTTCTTCTTAAACTGGGTGAAGGGGCTCCAGGAAGGTGGCTCCCCTCACCTCAACCTTCCCCTTGCCCGTGCCCTGCTCAAGGAGATCAAAATTTTAATTTAATTTGCCTATACCATTATCACTGTCACTGGGAAACAAAGATGCCTAGAAATTTCCTGGTTGCTAAGGGATTTTATTGGTGAATTTCAACTACATTTCTGGGTTCCCGAC